AGAATAAAAAGGTTGCATTTTATGCATGCAACAGCCGGTCACTGGCAGTCCCTTATGAAAATGAACCATGGTTTTACTAAAGTGATCATAGTTCAGCTGTAGTATTTATAGATTTGAATCATGTGTAAACAAAAATATAACCTAATAAGTTACAATTAAGGCGTATTGAATGTTAAAATGCGTTTTAAACATAAAGTTACGTGCTTATCATTACCCATTTTACTTTTAGTAATTTAATAATTTCATAAATGTCATAATTTAAAAGTTTAGTTCAGAAGTATTGAATCGGTATCGATATCGACAATACTGCCTTGAAAAATATCGGTATCGTATCGAAAACAAAATAAGTGGTATCGCCCATCCCTAATTTTTAGAGTGTGCATGCGACGTTCCTGGACGCGTGCGTCTGTGCCCTGCTCGGTCCTGCTCCTCCGTGGCGATGACGGCGTGCGTTAAAAAAATCATAACAAACGAATTTGAAAATGGGGGGGAAACAAACGTGATTTTAAAAAGTGGGGGGGACATGTCCCCTCTGTCCCCAGTGGAAATTACGCCCCTGAGTTCTGGTCAAGGCCGGATTTACGCATAGGCATTCTAGCCACATGCCTATGCTTGCTCGTCCAGGGGTCCCAAACACAATGAAGAGATATATAATATTTTTGTTATACATGGTTATGACAAAGATTTATAGCAGTTACAATCTTTATTTTAGAAAATAACCGTTTAAGTATATTTTGAGGTAAAAGGTATTTTTTGCTCATTATGTTTTTGGGGAATTTGTCCTGCATTTCTTCACATGGAATATTTTGCGAGTTAATCAGACTGATGATTATGTTCATATTTCTGCCTCTTCATTCTGTCTTTTTAAGCAAGCATTAGTCTGTGGATACTCTATATCCTACTGGTAAGGTAAATTAAATCCCATGGTGCAACAAAATTCTTGAAGCATAAATGGTGTGGCTTATCAGCAGTGTACCACACTTCTCTGATATGACTGTGTGCAGGTATCCATGGATTGGGAATCGCCTGGTCCAGGTTCGTGGTAACAGCAGCGAACACTAAAGAGCAGATCCGATTCAAATCACAGGTAGTGTACTCAGGGCCGGATTTACGCATAGGCATTCTAGGCACATGCCTATGCTTGCTTGTCCAGGGGGGGCCCAAACACAATGAAGAGATATATCATATTTTTGTTATACTATGGAATATCTACAACAGTAAAAGAACCAAAAACCCCAGAAGACATTGGGCAAATAAATATAACAAACAATAGGGTAAAAATGACAAACTATTTCCATGTCTTCAACCTTTTTTATGTACAGAAATCAAGCTTTCTTTCTCCCAGTCTCTCTCAGACGTACACACAGACACAGTACAGACAGACACGCACTCGCGCACACATGCGGAGACGCGGACAGAAACTTGTTGTCAGAGCTGTCTGTTATTACTGTATATCTATCTATCTATCTATCTATCTATCTGTCTATCTGTCTATCTATCTATCTATCTATCTATCTATATATATACTGTATATGTTTGTAAAATGGCACAGCTTTTGAAATATCTGAAAGTACACTCAACATCAGTCAGTCAAGCAATATAATATGATATTATTATATATTATAAGTATTATTTAATGATAGAAATTTAGTAATTAGAATTAAAACTTGGTAACTATGTATAGACTTGTTCGGCATTGCTGGGAACGCCCACAAAAACGTCATAACCGTTTATGCCGTGGGTGGAAACAAACCATTCAAATTAACGCGCGGAGACCTTATGTTAGGCAATTGATCTTTATGTGATTATTTCGATTGATTTTTGCTTGGTGCAATGCCGAAAAGTTGCTGTGTGGCGTTCTGTACCTCTAATGGCGTTCAAGCCAGCCGCACTTCAGAAAAACACGGTCAAGCCAGCCGCGAGTGAAAATACTGCGCGTGTATTACTATAATTACGGTAATAGCAGGAACAACACAGAGGGAACGCGCTTTCAGAGCGCTTTTCATCTAGACGCCCGGAATTGAGATATGATGACATTTTTTAGGATTTTTTTTGCCCATCTGCTTTAATATTCGTGTAATTTATTGTTGTCTTTGACTGTTCTGTATTACTATAATTTTCAAAGGATAATATTACACTTTAGAAGGCTATAAAGACCTCATTTCTAATAAGTAGAAGAAAAGAATGGTCAGTTCTTATACGGGACGTCCCATACTATATGCACACCTCATATCAAACCATTTTACTTCAGCGTTTTTAAGATAAGGGACATTATCACACTTTAGAGGAGTATAAAGATTCCATTTCTAATAAGCAGAAAAAAACAATGGTCGGTTCTTATTCAGGACGTCCCATACTATATGCACACCTCATATCAAACCATTTTACTGTAGCGTTTTGGAGATAAGGGACATTATCACACTTTAGAGGAGTATAAAGATCCCATTTCTAATAAGTAGAAAAAAACAATGGTCGGTTCTTATTCAGGACGTCCCATACTATATGCACACCTCATATCAAACCATTTTACTGTAGCGTTTTGGAGATAAGGGACATTATCACACTTTAGAGGAGTATAAAGATCCCATTTCTAATAAGTAGAAAAAAACAATGGTCGGTTCTTATTCAGGACGTCCCATACTATATGCACACCTCATATCAAACCATTTTACTGTAGCGTTTTGGAGATAAGGGACATTATCACACTTTAGAGGAGTATAAAGATCCCATTTCTAATAAGTAGAAAAAAACAATGGTCGGTTCTTATTCAGGACGTCCCATACTATATGCACACCTCATATCAAACCATTTTACTGTAGCGTTTTGGAGATAAGGGACATTATCACACTTTAGAGGAGTATAAAGATCCCATTTCTAATAAGTAGAAAAAAACAATGGTCGGTTCTTATTCAGGACGTCCCATACTATATGCACACCTCATATCAAACCATTTTACTGTAGCGTTTTGGAGATAAGGGACATTATCACACTTTAGAGGAGTATAAAGATCCCATTTCTAATAAGTAGAAAAAAACAATGGTCGGTTCTTATTCAGGACGTCCCATACTATATGCACACCTCATATCAAACCATTTTACTGTAGCGTTTTGGAGATAAGGGACATTATCACACTTTAGAGGAGTATAAAGATCCCATTTCTAATAAGTAGAAAAAAACAATGGTCGGTTCTTATTCAGGACGTCCCATACTATATGCACACCTCATATCAAACCATTTTACTGTAGCGTTTTGGAGATAAGGGACATTATCACACTTTAGAGGAGTATAAAGATCCCATTTCTAATAAGTAGAAAAAAACAATGGTCGGTTCTTATTCAGGACGTCCCATACTATATGCACACCTCATATCAAACCATTTTACTGTAGCGTTTTGGAGATAAGGGACATTATCACACTTTAGAGGAGTATAAAGATCCCATTTCTAATAAGTAGAAAAAAACAATGGTCGGTTCTTATTCAGGACGTCCCATACTATATGCACACCTCATATCAAACCATTTTACTGTAGCGTTTTGGAGATAAGGGACATTATCACACTTTAGAGGAGTATAAAGATCCCATTTCTAATAAGTAGAAAAAAACAATGGTCGGTTCTTATTCAGGACGTCCCATACTATATGCACACCTCATATCAAACCATTTTACTGTAGCGTTTTGGAGATAAGGGACATTATCACACTTTAGAGGAGTATAAAGATCCCATTTCTAATAAGTAGAAAAAAACAATGGTCGGTTCTTATTCAGGACGTCCCATACTATATGCACACCTCATATCAAACCATTTTACTGTAGCGTTTTGGAGATAAGGGACATTATCACACTTTAGAGGAGTATAAAGATCCCATTTCTAATAAGTAGAAAAAAACAATGGTCGGTTCTTATTCAGGACGTCCCATACTATATGCACACCTCATATCAAACCATTTTACTGTAGCGTTTTGGAGATAAGGGACATTATCACACTTTAGAGGAGTATAAAGATCCCATTTCTAATAAGTAGAAAAAAACAATGGTCGGTTCTTATTCAGGACGTCCCATACTATATGCACACCTCATATCAAACCATTTTACTGTAGCGTTTTGGAGATAAGGGACATTATCACACTTTAGAGGAGTATAAAGATCCCATTTCTAATAAGTAGAAAAAAACAATGGTCGGTTCTTATTCAGGACGTCCCATACTATATGCACACCTCATATCAAACCATTTTACTGCAGTGTTTTCGAGATATCGGACATTATTACACTTTAAAGGGCTACAAAGACCACATTTCTAATAAGTAGAAAAAAACAATGGTGGTTCTTATTCAGGACATTCCATACTATATGCACACCTCATATCAAACCATTTTACTACGCATTTTGGAGATAAGGGACATTATCACAATTTAGAGGAGTATAAAGATCCCATTTCTAATAAGTAGAAAAAAAACAATGGTC